TGAAGTCCAGATGACATGATTCAACCTTTTTTGTTGTTATATACCTGGATGACTGAGAAAACAAACTTTGTGTTTTTGAAACCATTAGTGAAAAGGCCAGACTTCAGGGGTATCTGAGGCAGGCTTGAAACACAAGAGTCAGGGTGGCTTCTGGGTAATACCAGATGGCTAGGCCTCAGACCGACGAAGCCTCTTGGATGAGGGGCGAAACGTTTCTTTTTTAACAAAAAACGAAGTCCAGATGACATGATTCAACCTTTTTTGTTCTTAATGTTTTTAGTGCACGATATTTACAGGAGCGTCAAACTCAGTTACTTAAGGGGGCCAATAATAAAAACTTGGTCCAAGTCACAGGTCAATTTCAGTCGATATATTAACTCAAGTCAGATATCTGACGTTTTTGCTTGGTTGTACTGGTTGGAGGACGCAAACACAGTTTCTTGGTCCTCTTTATGTTCTTGGTTCATCAGCAGGAGTTTAACTGGTTCATTTTCATGTTCTTTGTTACTCCTCCACATCACAATCAAAGCTGACTGAAAACTCCAACCTTTTTTCTGGTTTTAACGTTAGCCAACTGTCATGGGAAGTCTGCACTAAGAAGTTATTTTATTTTAGCAAAACAAGAAGTAAAAAACATATTTTACATTTAAAATATCATCTTGGGGGCCCAGATAAGAAGTTAACAAGAACTAAACTTGGTCCGTGGGCTTAATTATTTTCCAAGCTGTTCAGTTCACAAGGTTTACATTTATATGGTGGCGGTCATTTTAGATTAAAATTTAGCAACCCAATTTTTGAAAATAACTTTTCTTACACATATATGTAGCCACCTATAAAAAATGGAAGTCATAATAATCTCACTTATTTTTCAAATCATCATTCTCACGTCACAGACAGACAGGGAGTACTTCTACTTCTCCCTTTTTGCTTCAGACAAAAAGAAATGGGGACAAAAGACTATAAAAGTGAGGGAGGTGGGTCTGAAAGAAAATCTTTCTTCCAGAGGCTTGAAAAAAAAACTAAAAATTATGTTTGTAAGGCTGTAGTTTTTCTACTAAGCAGTACTCTTTCATAAAACAATAAATCCCCAACACAGGGTTCCCATATTTCATGTAAACAGTCTTTGAGTTTTCCCTCAGTAAATCCTGCAGGAGATGTTTCAGACACAGGGAACACTCAGACCTTAGTGTCTGAGTGTTCCCTGACTATCAGTGTTGTTCAGGGGTGATGGTAGGATGAAGAGGGAGATGGATGGATGGACGGACTGGGGCCTTGTCCTCAATAATGAGGGTGTTGCTTCAGTCAGTCGTGGTGAAGAAAGTGCTGAGTGGAAAGGCAAAGCTCTGGATTTATTGGTCTGTCTAAGTTCCAGCACTCACCTATGGTCATGAAGTATCATGGCCGAAAGAATGAGATCCTAGATACAAGCGGCTGAAATGAGCTTCCTTTGTAGGGTGGCTGGGCTCAGCCTTAGGGATAGGGTGAGGAGCTTCATCATCTGGGGGATCTTGGAGTAGAGCTGCTGCTCCTCTGCATCAAAAGGAGTCAGCTGAGGTGGTTCAGGCATCTGATTAGGACCTCCTGGATGCCACCCTAAAGATTTTCTGGGCACCTCCCACTGTAGGAGGCCCCATGGAGGACCCAGAAAACACAGGAGGGATTGTGTATCTTCTCTGGCCTGTGAAGGCCTTGGGGTCCTTCAGAACGAGCTGTAAAATGCTGCTGGGGAGAGGGAGGTCCGTGTTTCTCTCCTGGACCTGTTGCCTCCACGACCTCATTATGGATAAGCAGGAGAAGATGGAGAATGAAGAGTTGTAACAATTGTAATATTGTAATATTTGTGTTTTGTAATGCTTGAGGGTGTGGAGCCCAGAAAGAATAGTCACCACTCTGGTGGAGACTGAAGAGGATCTTTAACTTGGAAAACAAAACAAGCAAACAAAGAGATGTTAATTCATGCAGACAGCACTTGGTTGAACCACTTGGGGGCAGAGCAGCACCTTCATGTCAGCTGTCTCAAATTAAAACAAAAAAAAAACAGTACACTAAACTAAATTTACATTTATTTATTTATCTATTGGTGACGTGGTCATATGTTTCATGGAGGGTGGAAACTGAATCCAGCTGCATGTGGAACAGCAAGTGCATCTGCCGAGATAAATGACTTGATCAGCCAAACAGTGATCCGACCAGTGGATGTGTTAAACAGCCTCAGCCTGTTGGTGGATGGAGAGGCAACAAACAGAGGACACATGCTGCAGTCAGGTGGCTCCACGCTTCAGAACCATCCTCTGCAAAGAGCACGTGCTAAACTCCTGCTCACACCACTGGTGCTTCTTCAGAAGAACAACCTCACAGTCCTCTCACCAAACATCCTTTTCTTTAAACAAGATTTCACAGTGGGTTGAAATTCAGAAAAGCTTTCAGGAAGAGAGGGTTTGAAAAGTAGGACCCAGAAACATGCTGCAGTGTGCAGGAACACGCACGTGAAGGACCAGAATAGTTTTATTTAAACCAGATGGTGTATGAGGTAGACCTGTCACGATAACAAATTTTGCTGGACGATTAATTGTCTCAGAAATTATTGCGATAAACAATATAATTGTATGAAATTTGACAATAATTAGTAATTGTCAAATTTAAGAAGTAATGTTGGATTAATTTTGTATGCAGTACCTTTTTTGACCATGGATGGCAGTATAAGACTGTCTGAAGCGAGCAGCGTGTCTCTTTAAGGAAAATGGGAGGGAGGCCCCTTGACGTGACATGGGCTGTCTCGTTCCTGTTTTTCAGTTCTCAAAATGGCGGATGCTCGGTGTGGTTTGAGCTCTTTAGCATAGCATTTGTCACACAAAGTTTTTAATAAAAAAATCAGTAAACAAGTTCTCAGCTTATTTTTGCAGAGAAAAACAACTTTTTAGACGAAGGCACGGGTTTCAACCGTGAATTTCAGAGCTTTGACAAGACGGAGATTTTTTTTTCCTGAGGTCGGCCTGTTAGCTTAGCTCATAGTTTAGCTTCTCAGCTTAGCTGCTTTTAACGATCCAAAAACACGATTTTAGATGGTTAAATGGATTTTAAAGAGAAAAGAGAAAGGGAGGTCAATGAAGCGCACTGGAGTTGAGCCTTTTGTCATCCAGTGTCTTCAGTAGAAAGAGAGAGACATGAGGAAAACGATAGAGCCGATAAATGAAAATGAGGTTGATAATTTTCATTTATTATGGGATTAAATGATTTATTGTTTATTGTGACAGGCCTAGTATGAGGTTCCATTAGTGACGAAAATATGTGTATGTATCTATGTAATATGTATGTAGCATGCTGTGTATATTCGGTGATGAACTTTTGGCACTAATGGGACCTCACATCAGGTCTTCATTTAGAATAGCTGTTGGTCAGCAGACCACACACATTATGTGCAGCACATGGACACAACACAGTACATAGGCATGTACAATACATATACACCTTACATATCACTTAACATATACACAGCACGCTACACACACACTTTACATAGACACATAAACATTTTTTTGGCATTAATGGAACCTCACAGTTGCTGCCTCAGCAGGGCGACATCAGTCTTTAACGAAAGACGGCAAAGAGACAGAAGTTTGAGAGGACAAATGCAACATGCAACGGAGACGAAGGATCAGTAAAAACAAGTGAAACAGACAAAAACAGTGCGATCATTTAAAAGGATCAATAAATAAATACAGTAAATAGGTACAAATTATACCCTATTGTTTGTTTGTCACGTTTTATATCAAATGAGTTTGTACCAAAAGTCTTACAGTGCATGTGCAACATGGTTTAGTTCAAAGTTTAAGTTTAGTTTAGTTCAAAATTATTTGGCGCACATGATGTGAATAATGTGTGAGGTTTGATCTGACTTTATTATAACGTCTTCTGGGTTTATTTTCTGGTATCAGTCGGAAAGAAAAAGAGACTTTCACGTTTTAACTTCAGTTTGAGGTTTAACTGTGAGTTCGTCTTGAAAAAAGAAGCACTTCCTGTGTGTTGTGTGTGTGTGGTGGGGGGGGGGGGGGGGGTGTCATGCAGAGAGAGGAGCAGCAGCTCTTTTCTGAACCTTGTTCCTTTTGAACAGACAGGTTGATGATAATTAATTTGAGTTTTTTTTCAAGTTGATTTTAAATTAATAAAGTTTTAGTCTGGACATCAGAACATTTAAGGAACACTGGAGAAGTGATGAAAATGCAGAGTTTGGGTGTTCAGGTCGTGTTTGCCGTCGTCCTCATAACCGCAGCTCCTGTGAAGGCCGACAATGGTAAATATAAAACATTTAGTTTTCGTTATACTTAGAAGCAAATGGGAAGGTTTAAGTGTCGTGTGATGGATTTAAGAAAATACATGTTCTGTCACAAAACATGACGTTTTTTAATTTTGCATTTTCAGTTTTTCTCCTATTTCCTGTGCTGTGGTTGCACCTTCACCTAACAGTCTGAATGTTTTAAATCATATTCAGATCCATTTTTATTCTGCATCTTTTTCAGCACGTCACTTGTTCTGCATTGTTTGTTCTATTTCAACAATTCATGGATGAAAATGTTCGGCTCATTCAGGACATTCCTGCTGTGACTTTTGGTGTTTATGCAATTTGTACTTTTTAAATATTTAACTTTGTCGGCCATGTTTTTCTCATTGAAAACAAATGGAGCTCTCTTCACATCCTTCAAACCCTTTAAAAACTTTTACTGCTCATTTCAGCCTTTTCATCTGTTTTCTGCTTTATCAGCAACTTTTTATGTATTTTTCTGCTAATTTTAGCTTTTCAATGCTATTTATTTTTGCTAGTTTTTGCCTATTGTGCTTATTTCTACTAATTTCTACTTTTATGCTCCTTTCAGAGTCTTTCTTTCTTTTTTTTTAGCTTTTCAGCTCCTTTTTTTTATAATTTCAGGTTTTTGGCATCTGTTTATTTCGGCTTAATCTGCACATTTCTGCTGCTTTCTGCTTTTATTTTCAAATGTCAAGTTTTCAGATTCAGCTCATTAACAGTTTAGTGATTAAACTTCTTTCAGTTTCTTCAGCAGCTTTCAGCAAAAATTCAGCAACAAGTATTCACTGCATTTTCACAGGAAATTCGTTAGTTTCCCTGAAGTGTATCAGTACAATGTCCCTGTTTTTTTTTTTTTTCTTCTGTTTTTTTTCTTTCGGCTGCTCCCTTCTTCAGGGGTCGCAACAGCGAACTAAGAAGACAGCAATTATTTTTACACCGGATGTCCTTCCTGACGGCTTCGAGACGATTCTGGTCCACCATCCGGCGTCTCAGGGGGGGAAGCGGTACGCCACCAACACTGTTTATAGTGGGAGTGGTGTGCTGCTGACCTCAACTCGAGATGTTGTGGGTCGGTGGGCGGAATACTTTGAAGACCTCCTCAATCCCACCAGCACGTCTTCCACTGAGGAAGCGGAGCCTGAGGACTCTGGGTCGGGCCCTCCAATCTCTGGTGCTGAGGTCACCGAGGTGGTTAAAAAGCTCCTCGGTGGCAGGGCCCCAGGGTTGGATGAGATTCGCCCGGAGTTCCTTAAGGCTCTGGATGTTGTAGGGTTGTGTTGGCTTACGCGACTCTGCAATATTGCGTGGACATCGGGGGAAGTTCCCCTGGATTGGCAGACCGGGGTGGTGGTCCCCCTATTCAAAAAGGGGGACCGAAGAGTGTGTTCCAACTACAGGGGAATCACGCTCTTAAGCCTCCCTGGTAAGGTCTATTCGGGGGTTCTGGAGAGGAGGGTCCGTCCGATAGTCGAACCTCGGATTCAGGAGGAACAGTGCGGTTTTCGTCCTGGCCGTGGAACACTGGACCAGCTCTACACTCTCAACAGGGACCTGGAGGGTGCGTGGGAGTTTGCCCAACCAGTCTACATGTGCTTTGTGGACTTGGAGAAGGCGTTCGACCGCGTCCCTCAGGGGGCCCTGTGGGGGGTACTCTGGGAGTATGGGGTACCGGGCCCTTTGGTACGGGCTGTTAGGTCCCTGTATGACCGGTGTCAGAGCCTGGTCCGCATCGCCGGCAGTAAGTCAGGCTTGTTCCCGGTGAGAGTTGGACTCCGCCAAGGTTGCTCTTTGTCACTGATTCTGTTCATAACTTTTATGGACAGAATTTCTAGGCGCAGCCAAGGTGTTGAGGGGATCCGTTTTGGTGGCCTTAGGATTGCGTCTCTGCTTTTTGCAGATGATGTGGTCTTATTGGCTTCATCAGATCGTGATCTACAGCTTTCGCTGGAGCGGTTCGCAGCCGAATGCGATGCGGCCGGGATGAAGATCAGTTCCTCCAAATCCGAGGCCATGGTCTTGAGCCGGAAAAGGGTAGAGTGCCCTCTCCGGGTCAGGGAGGAGGTCCTACCCCAAGTGGAGGAGTTCAAGTATCTTGGGGTCTTGTTCACGAATGAGGGAAAAATGGAGCGTGAGATCGATAGGCGGATAGGTGCAGCGTCTGCAGTGAAGCGGGCGCTGTACAGGTCTGTCGTGGTGAAGAGAGAGCTGAGTCAAAAGGCGAAGCTCTCAATTTACCGATCGATCTACGTTCCCACCCTCATCTATGGTCACGAGCTTTGGGTTGTGACCGAAAGAATGAGATCTCGGATACAAGCGGCCGAAATGAGTTTTCTCCGCAGGGTGTCTGGGCTCTCCCTTAGAGACAAGGTGAGAAGCTCGATCATCCGGGAGGGACTCGGAGTAGAGCCGCTGCTTCTCCACGTCGAGAGGAGCCAGTTGAGGTGGCTTGGGCCTCTGTTTAGGATGCCTTCTGGACGCCTTCCTGGTGAGGTGTTCCGGACACGTCCCACCGGAAGGAGGCCCAGAGGAAGACCCAGGACACGCTGGAGGGACTATGTTTCTCGGCTGGCCTGGGAACGCCTCGGGATTCCCCCGGAAGAGCTGGCCCAAGTGGCTGGGGAGAGGGAAGTCTGGGCCTCCCTACTTAGGCTGCTACCCCCGCGACCCGACCCCGGATAAGCGGAAGAAAATGGATGGATGGATGGATGGATGGATGTCCTTCCTGACACAACCACAGACCACCAAGCTACCACAGCCCTCTGTGTGGAGCAGAGAGCTAACATTTAGGGCGCTGGGGGAGCAGATGGTGGGGGTTAAGGGCCCAGAGTGGGGCAAGAGGGTGGAGGCAGGTGTGGGTGCTTCACCTATCCCACCCACGTTTTGATGTTGTCAGTATCAGGAGTTGAACCAGCGATCTTCCGATCATAGGCCCACCTTCTCTAACCTCTGCACCACCACTCCCTTACAATCTCCCTGTTTTTTTTTTATTATTATTATTATGAGCTGAGAGTATAAATATTCATGTGTACAATTAAATCACATTGTATTTAGAGAAACACAGATTCAGCTACGATGTGCACGAGATGAGTAAAGTCAAGTGGAGACATGCTTCAGCTCTCTGGTTGTCTTGGAAAAGGGGGCGGGGCATCTTTGTTAATTAAAAAACTAAGCAAGTTTAACCAAGGGTGGAGCAGTTGGTAGAGTTGTTGCCACTCAGTGAGAAGGTCACCGGTCCAAATCCCGGCTGGTACTCCAGTTTCCTCCCACAGACTAAAAACATGCATGTTAGGCTGATTGATAACTCTAAATTGTCTCTTGGTGTGAGTGAGAGAGTGAATGGTTGTTTGTCTCTATGTGTCCCTGTGATGGACTGGAGACCTGTCCAGGGTGTCCCCCGCCTCTCACACAATGTCTGCTGGATATGAGCACCAGTGACCCCCGTGACCCAAAAAGGAAGAAGCGTGTAAAGATAATGGATGAATGTTTAACCAAACACTAACGTAATTTATGTTTGTTTCAAGGAGGAGCAACGTTCAGGAGAAAAACGGTCACACTGACGTGTCCAGAAAGTGGAGACTGGTTTGAAGATGCAAAGAAACTTTCAAATGTAGCCACAGAGTACACGTTTGACTATCAACACCAGGGCAGGTACAGCTGTAAATATGATGATAAAACCTATACTTTCTATGTAAAAGGAAAGGGTGAGTAACATTGTTGTTCTATGCTGTTTTTATTGTGTTGCCTGGGTAACATTTAACTGACCTTTGACCTCTCTCTGTCCCAGTCTGTGATAACTGCTTCGAACTGGATGGGCTTTTCTTCATGTTGGTCATCGTCGTGGACCTGACTGCAACGTCATTTCTGATGATGATGATCTACAGTTGCAGCAAGAAAAACACCTCAGACGCGCCTGCTCGCACTCCTAAAGGTGAGAATGATCGATTTATTCAGCTCGAGTCTCACGTTCCTTTTGTCTCTAAATAAGCTGGTTCACACCTGTTCTCTGTTCGTCTTCTAGCTCCGGTTAAATCAGGAGGCCTAGGTCCGCATGTCCCCTCGCCAGACTATGAGGTGACTTTGGTTTAATTTAACTAATATGTTAGAATAAAAACATTACATCCCGCTAAATGCAATAAATCTTTGTGATAAAGATGCAAATATTTAGCTGATTACATAATTACTCCTTTCACCTGCATGTCCATCAAACATCAGGTGGGAGGAACAGTTTCAAAGAATAAAGGCTCATCTGGTTTGATTGTTTCCTTTCGAATTCATGTCTAAATATTTGTTTTTAATTAAGGTAAAGAGCTCAAAGATTTACGCAAATGTCACATGTGGAATTTTATTTTACTTTGCAACACTTTAAGCAATTAGGAGGAATGATTTCGGCTCATTTAGTGCAAGTTTTTTAAAAAATTGGACTAAGATCTGTGATTCCAGTGACATCAAGCATCTGTAGCTAAAATGGTTTGGGGCTCTGGTCTCTGAAATCTGGTGGACAGAAAGTAAAAATAGTACGAACCTTATTTAAAACAAAATGAGCTCACAGCTTATATTGCTATCTAAAATGGCTACATTGTCCATAAAAGAACAAATACAACTAGAGAAATGTTATTTCCTGTGAAAATGTTTACTGCTGAATGATTTTTGCTGAAAGCTGCTGAAGAAGCTGAAACCAGCTGAAAAGGTCTGAGCCCTGAACAGTTAATGAGAGCTGACTTTGAACAGCTAACATTTACTCAACGCAGGAAAATAAAAGCCGAAAGCAGCAGAAATTAGCTGAAACAGGCAGCAAGGCTAAATATATGACAAAAATTCAGAAATTAGAAACAAAGAAATAGTAACGAGCAGAAAAAAGCTGAAATTAACAACAACCAAAGTAGCAAGATTTGTTTTAATGCTGAAAAGGATTTAAGGCTGAAAGGAGCATTACAAAGTGAAATGACTAGAAAGAATCAAAAGATGGAAATTAGCCAAAACATTGTGGAAAAGGGCTAAAATCTGCAGAAAATGCATAAAAAGTAGCTGAAAATGCTTAAATGGGAACATGGAAACTAAAAAAATAAACTGAACCAGAGAAAAGTTCAGATGAGCAGTAAGAGGTTTTAAACAGCACAAAAGAGAGCTCCTTTCATTTTCAATGAGACAAACATGGCCGACAAAGCTAAATATCTCAAAAAGTAAAAAAAGGCACAAACATCAAAAGTCAGAGCCAGAATGTCCTGAACGAGCCGAACCTTTTGACAGGGAGTATGGTTGGAACACTTTTTGCTGCAGCGCCTGCAACTCATTGAATTTTTGAGTTAGAGTGCTCAAACTTGTACACAAAGTACACACATTTGTCTTCTACAAATGGCAACAATTCAGACCTCTGTAAGATTATCAGGGTTCCTATAAGTTGATGTCAAATACACGGTTTCTCTTTGTTACAACCTACTCCACCACCGGGGTAGGTTGTAGCACATGCTGTTGTAACAGTAGTGTGCCTGTGTAAATTAGTGTAGGACTACAGAACAAACTTCCTTAATGATATATGCCTAATAAACACCTGTGTAAAGAACATTAGGTCAAATAAAAACTATGTCTATGTGTGTGTGTGTGCGCGCGTGTGTGCGTAGGCCTATATTCTTAAATCAGAGTCACAATGGTGACAAATGAATGGTACCCCTGGAGTGCAGGTTTGTTGGGCCCAGAGACTGTATAGGTACAGTTCTCCCACAATTCCTTTGGCTTCGAGTTGCCAAATGGCTCCACACAGACAACAGTTTTCATCACGAGGTCTCAGAATCCTCAGTATTGGCTTTCAACATTTTCTTGACGGGCTTTCTCTCCTTTTTCTTTGCTTGTCTTTATACTTTCTCTTTCTTTGCTTCCTCTTCTCTGTTCTTTCTCCATCAATGATTGCTCCACTGGTGTATCAGTACATCAAACTCCAGCCAGAAAGGTCCCGGGCTGGGATTTGAACCGGCAACCTGCTCTCTGAGAGGCAACAGCTCTACCAACTGCACCACTGTGCCGCTGGCCTGTGGAGTGGAAACCAGCTTGAATGTTTTTGGGTGTTGCAGCTACAGGCAGAGCAGTCTTCACAACACTTGGAATATCTTATAATATATGATGTCATCGTCTTGGCAGGATTCAGTTTCATCCAAACATTCGTTTAAAACATTTGCAGGCACATCTCTGTCTGTCTTTCTTTTCCACTGCCTAAACATTTTGCAAAATTATTAAAATCAAGTAAGTTTTCTTAGTTGTATGTCAGGGGATGGTGGCAACACTTTTTTAAAGATGTGTTACAAACCACCCCACACCTGTCAGTCATTGTTTAGCTAGCTGTATTAGCATAGTGGTTTGAAATTAGCAGGAGGAAGATGCATCACATTTTGCCTTGAGAAACTACAATTCAATGTAACTGAGCTCATATGGTTTTATCTGCAATAGTACAACTACTAAACAAAATATAATCTTGGTTCAATAATTTACTTTCTTACCTCAAAATCAGTTTTTTCTTTATAGTCTCTGCGTGCATTTGTTTCAAATCTTGGCAATCACCCTGTGGGGTCGGGGAGGAATTGGGTAAACACTGGAATGATCATGTGACTCTTATCTTATCCATGATTGGTGGAACTGGTGGCGCTACAACCCTCCCCATGTCACAACCATACCCGCTCTCCTATGTGAACTGTTGAAACAGAACAAACGTTGCTGAACGAGTTCCGCGCTGAAAAACCTACGGAAGAGAAACAAATCTGAACAATTAGAATGATTCAGAAACATTCAGACAATAAATAAAGTTGTTTTCCTTTGCGTGCACTGGGTGATTCACTTCCTAAAACAAAAGGTTCTTCTTTAGACATTGTACGATCTGAACTCAAGTAGCTCCCTTAACTTTCCAAATGTTGCTGGGATGTAAAGATGTGCAGCATGGTTCAACCCTGTGAATATTTATTTGTTTGTTTGTTTGTTTTCATGCAGTCTCTGAACCTGAACACTCTATCAGCCGACACCTATTCCACTGTGGTCAACAGGATGGGATAGAGACGGGTCGACAGAAGGACCACTCTCCTGAGTCCACCTGTGTGAAAACAGAGGACGTTGTTGTTCTGGACCGACTGAGTGATGCAGTTGGTCTTGAACATCTTTTGATTCGTCTGTCGCAGCGTCTCATCTGAGGCGCTCTTCGTGTTTTAAAGTCACTCTGAAATCCCCTCAGCGACATTACACATCCAACCTTTAAATGTATGTTTGTAGATTGTGCTGTCAGCTGTTAGAGACACTCTGAAGGAGAACAATAATGAGGAAGTTTGTTTTGTTTGTTTTTGCTTAGTTCTTGAATCAAATCAAGGAAAACAAAGTTAGAGATAAAAAATAAACCAAACCATCATTGGTGCAAAAGCCTACAAAAGATAAATGTTTTGTAGAGACAATACAAACCAAAATATTTGAATTATAAATTGATTTCGGTACATGCTGTGTGTGTGTGCCAGCCTGTAAAAACCATAAATAATTTAGACTCTTATTGTGAAGGATGAAAGGAAGCTGAGTAATAAAGACAACACTTCAGACTGGATCAGAAAAACACCTTGGTATTTTTGTCGTTTTCTCAAAGTGCACCTTTGACCTTCTGCTGCAAAAAGACTAAAAGCAACAATCGTAGTTTTGGACTTTTATTTGGACTTTTTTCTTCAAATAGTTATTTGACATCGTGTTGGATCGATGTTGATAGAATCCATCAGAAACAGACGGGTCGTTCTTCGTGTCATGAAAGAAAATAACAGCACACGGTAGATTCCAAGGCGACACTGAAGAAAGTGACCAGCTGTTTGTGTTTTGTGCCTCTCTGGGTGCACTTTGCAGAGGATATGTACATATTTGAACTCGTTCGTGTGATATTTTATGGCTTATAAAGGCACAAGACGGTGTCATCTCTTACCATAACACATGTTAAAGCCTGTCCAACTCAACATGTTTTTTATTATTAATATTACTTTTATATTTGCTTTTCTTTATTTTCTGTTCAGATCATATTTCAACACATGTTCACATTTTGAAGTCCACAAACATCAACGTTGGTAACAGCCAAGTCAATGGAGCAGCATGTTGTTTTGTGTTTTTATGGTATATTTAGTGTACAAATTACTTTGAGCATTCAGTGTTTTTTTATGTAAAAGCTGGATTGGGAGCACGGTCTAATTTACTTTGAAATATATCAGTTTAGTACAACCACAGCCAGGTTTGTCATGTTTTATGTCTTACAGTGTAAAAACAGCTGGTTTAAGTACACCGAGTTAAATTCTTTAGTTTGTCGTGCTGTCACTGTAACGTGTCCTGATGATAAAATAAACCAGAATAAACTCTGTTCTCCTTTTTCTGTTTGTATTCGGTTGGAAACAGATGAATCATTTGCAGCCTGTCTTCCTCGCTCTTCGTTTCTCGTGAACGACGGACGGGCTGCAAACGTCAAAACTAATCTAAACCCAGTCGTAGCACGTAGAGTCAGTACCGTCAGGCTCGTGATGGAAAAGTTGCGTCACGTCGTGTCTTCGACTTGTGTCTGTGACAGAAGGCGTCCGAGACGGTGGAAATAAAGCTCTGAGATGTGACGGGACACGTTCTGCACAACAAAGCAGCTCAGAAGTGCAGCGTTGGGAGGAAACACCCCCACACTCACTGCTCGGTTATCTCCAGTCATCTGTACACCTGCTGTATGTTGGTGTCAGTGTGGAGGTGGGGGGAGGGGGTCAAGCCCCTCCCACTCAGAGGCCTACATCTGCTCCTCTGCTGTGATGGGGAACATCCGGGTGCTGATCAGCTTCACACCTGAAGCTGGTCGTGTGTGTGGGTGTGTGGGTGGGGGGGCTTAGTTAGGCTTTTTCCAACAAAAATGGAGCCAAAGGTCATGAACAAATAATTTTAGCTTATATTTTCAGATTAGCGTCCTCGGTTCATTTCTGTTCCTTGTCTCAGTTTCCTGCCCTTCACCGTGTATCTGTTCCTCCTTCCTGTTCCTCTCAAACCCAGCCAGTCGAAGCAGATGGCCGCTTGTTCTGAGCTTGCTTCTGCTAAAGGTTTCTTCCTGTTAAGAGGGACTTTTTCCTTTCCACTGTTGCCTTTGTGCTTGCTTAGGATGGGAGTCTGCGATGAAATGAAGACTCAGTGCAATCAGCTGGCTACACTACCTTAGATACATAATGTTACTAATTGAATTTTTATGTATGTGAATGTTTCTGTTCAGTGTCCTGAGATGACTTCTGTTGTGACTTGGTGCTTATGGGGTGCCGTTTGTAAAGTTACACAGTCAAAAGTTAACAACAATTTTTTTTTTTTTTTTTTTAGTCTTTAATAATAAAAAAATAGTTTTTGTTTTCAAAGTTGTATTTTCACCATGTTATTCATACATTTATAAATGTCATAGTTCCAAACTAAATATTTAATTTGCAAGCTAAATATTTAGTTTACAAACTAAATACTTAACATGCAAGTTAAATATTTAGTTAGTAAACAAAATATTTAGGTGTAAATGAAATATTTAATTTTCAAACTAAATATTTATTTTCAAAACTAAACATTTAATTTCCAAACTAAATATTTATTGTCCATGCTAATTATTTTATTTCCAAACTAAACATTTAATTTAAAAAAAAAAGTTTAATTTGCTAACTAAATATTTAACTCTCACCTAAATATTTAACTTGCAAGCTCAATATTTTCATTATTTAAAATTGCTGATCTGCTGCAGCCATATGTTCCACAGCACTCTCTGAGGTCAGCAAACCAGATGCTTTTATTGGTTCCAGGCACTGGTTTTAAGCTCAGAGGTGACAGGGTCTTCTCTGTTGCAGGTCCAAAACTTTGGAATGAGTTACCACTGTTTTTAAGTCTCGTTTAAAAACTCATTTTTATTCCCTGGCTTTTGACACTGATTTTAACTTCACTGTGTTTTTATTATTTTAGTCAGTTTCTTATCTTCACCTCTGTAGATTCATGTATTTTATCCTGTGTCCTTTGCTTCTTTGTTTTACTGAACTACACTTTGGTTGGCCTTGTTGTTGTTTTTAGTGCTTTATAAATAAAGTGGTCCGGTTTGTTTTTTTCCTTGTTCAAGCAGTGTAGAGTGATGGATCCTGGCAAGTGGAGGAAGACATTTTATCCACCACCAGGCTAAATGCTGATGGGAGCCTTGACCACCACACATTAATCTTTGACCATCCCAACCATTCAGGAAACTATACTTTTAAGCAATAAATTAGAAATCGTAGTATATACCTCTCAGTTGAGGAACAGTTTCAGCTCAGCTTATAGTTTGTTTTGCAGTGACTGTCTGAAACTTAGGTTCAAGTCTGGATTGTGTCCGTCTGTCTTGTTAGGAGTCACTAAACAGTGCACTGCTGTTAGGTTTTAGAGAAAACATGAAGAATGTTGGGGTTTTGGACAGAAGTAGGTCAGTCAGTGGGATTCGTCCCAGAGTCTGCATCTATACACAATCCTGCAGTAGGACCTATTTACAGCAATTTCTCAAAAAATGAATATAGTTTAAATGTTACAAAGTTGATTACAACATTAGTTTGAAACCCAAATTAAGCTGTTCAGTCAGGTTCATCTCCAGTCAAAGCATTACAAAAAAGACAGCATATATTATTTACCAGTTTTTAATCCTGGAAAATTTTTGAACATGAAAAAAACAAACAAACATGAAAACACTCCAGCAGCTGCACACTTTGCTAGTAACACAGCAACATGACAGGCATCATGGAGACACATCTGCACACTGCTTATAGGAAAACTAACTGGAGCTCATGCAGCTTAAACAGCCTCATGTCCAAGTTGCATCAGCATCGAGAGTGGGGGGGTTGGGGGGGTAAACTCCACCAGAAGCACTCAGATCAAATCCTCCTGTAGGATGGTGGAGCAGGCCTCCGTCTACTTCCTGACGACATCGTATTCATCTTTGGGCTGTTTGTGTCTCAGTGGCTGAGTTAAAAGGACAAAGAGGTCATTTTATTTTTGGTAGGCGCTCTGATTTAATCCTGTTTAATGAAGGTGTTCAGGGTGGGGCTCACCTGGTAATGGTCGCTGCTCGTGCCGGGTTGGTTAGGAATCAGGTTCTGTCGATCAGACCCTGAGAACAGAAAACAAGGTAAGAAGACAACAAGCAGCACTCAGATGTCCCCCGTCGCTGAGGGGTTTGTGCAGTGAATGTTTGTAGTTTTGGAGTTGAGTGTTTTTCTGGACTGGAACTGAACAGGGAATTCAAGTAAACCTAAATGTTCTTGATGCAACATTCAAGTAGGCAGGAGTTACACTGTGAAGAAGAACAGAAGGAGGAATTCATTTATTTATATAATTTTTGCATGTCTGAGGCAGCGCAGTGAGGGATCCTGGTGGATGGAGGGAGTTATTTTATCCACCACTAGATGCAATGGTGGAACCAGGGGGTGGCCAATGGTGGCCTTGGCCCCCATAAAATCTTTGACCACCTCGAAGACCATCACAATCATTTGAGGAAACTATACTTTGAAGTAATATAAGAACTAAAAAGTATCGTTTCCGCAAAATGATTGGGGTGGTCCATTTACATATACTGTAGTTTTTGATGTATAAGTCACACCTTTTTGCATAAATTAGCATGCCCTGCGAATTATACAGTGAAGCGACTTATTCATGTTTTTCCCCATATTTATAACTCAATTTTTGGCTGAGATCTGATAATTTCATCCATCCATCCATTTTCTTTACCCGCTTCTTCCTATTTGGGTCACGGGGGTCGCCGGTGCCCATGTCCAGCAATCACTGTGCGAGGGGCGGGGTACACCCTGGTTGGGTCGCAAGTCCATCACAGGGACACATAGAGACAAACGAGACAAACAACCATTCACTCTCTCACTCACACCTAGGGACAATTTAGAGTTACTAATCAGCCTAACATGCATGTTTTTGGTCTGTGGGAGGAAACCGGAGCAACCGGAGAAAATCCACGCATGCACGGAGAGAACATGCAAACTCCACCCTGAGAGACCCCTGGACCGGGGTTTGAACCAAGGACCTGCTCACTGAGAGGCAGCAGCTCTACCAGTTGCACCAACGTGCTGCCCCTGATGATTTTATTCATTCTGAAATGGAAAATATTGAACACTACCATTTTCAGCCACTAGAGGGCCCTCGAGTCAAATGGCAAGCCAAGTGTCTCATTAATAGGGAAAAGTGGCTATTAATGAGACACTTGGCTTGCCATACCAAACCACCTTTGTCTCGCTCCGGATCTCTTGGTGCAAACGTCAAATCAGTTGCATTTCGCCGCGCTGCCCAGGCGAAATACAGATGATGTGACCGTTAAAGTGCATTTATTAAGGAAAAGTTAAACTGAGACACACATTTACTTATATGTTGAGCAAACAAATAATTGTTTTTATGTGTATATCTTGTTAAATTTTGAAGAAATGCACAGTGAGTCCTCCCTCTGTGCGCTCCCGCAGCTGCAAATTGATTTTTGAAATGCAGCTGATTTGACCATTAAAGTGCATTTATTATGGAAAAGTTAAACTGAAACATGCCTTTGCTATAATTTCGAGCAAACAAATAACTGTTTTTAAGTGTTAATCTTGTTGAATTCTTGTTAAAGTCCTCCCGTACACGCTCCCGCGGCTGCCATTTGGCAGCCAATCGATTTTTGGCCCAACACCAGCCCACGTTTCCAGGTGGTCTGCGGTGACGCATAATAGATGCGACTTATATGGTGAAGCAACTTATTTACGTTTTTTTCCCACTTTATTAGACATATTTGGACTGATGCGACTTATACGGCGGAAAGTACGGAATATGGTGGCAGCCATCTTGTATTTTAACGTAACGTAACATATAGTAACATTTTTTAAACCTAGATGCAGACACACACCAAAGTTCCAGTTATCTAGCTCACAAGATTTACTTATACACATGTATGGTGGTGTTTATTTTATTAACCTTTATTTAACCAGGTAAATCTCATCACCTTGCACATTCCTGAGGACTGTTCTTAAGGCAGCTGAACGGGCATGTTTGTGGACTGTGGGAGTACACGCACAAAAAAAACCATACAAACGCGAGGAGAACATGCAAACTCTACAGAGAAAGACCCCAGGTCCAAACTGGAGATTGAATCCACAGCTTTCTTGCTGTGAGGCAACAGTGCTAACCGCTGATCCATCGAGGTTTGCCAGGTTGAGAATTATAGACCTGGCAACCCACTTTTCTAAAGGAAACTTTCTTACTTCTAGATGCAGCCACACACCAATATGGAAGTCAGTAGCTCACTTATTTTTTGTGTTATTATGCTCATGACATGCACGGACAGAGGTTACTGTATTTCCAGTTCCCCGTTTTGCTCTGAAATAAATTGCTCTCATCCAGCTGTTTAATCTACAATTAAATCTGATAAATTAACACATTTTTCATTATTCTCTTTTCTGTGACGAAGGTTTGAAGATACTTGGAAGGAAAAAAATCCAGGAAAATTTGAAAAATTTGCGCTTAAAGTCTAAATGTTCAATTAAAGTCTTATTGTGAGACTAAGTCAAATTGTTGAGGAAAAAATCAGAGTTCCAAAACTAAAGCAGATCAAGTGAACCTCATTGTGCTTCTGAACCCAACTGGGTTTGTTCTGTTTCATTTTTACTTATGGACAATATATGGATGTATATGTATGGGCACATATATATGTATGTACTGGATCCCTCACATTTTCCCCTGTGATTATTAAAGTATCTATCTATGTGTGAGTTTTTACTGGATTAGCTACAAAATAACAACACAAGGATTTTTCTTGAGCCAGTTCTATTGCCCCTTTTCCATTAGTACCGGTACGGGCCGACTCGACTTTACTTGGCCCGGTTCTGAGGCTTTTCCATTAGTACCGGTACTTAGCACCTGTTACTATTTTCAGTACCCTTGGCTCTGTGGTTCTAACCGGTACGAAGAGGTACAAAAACGTGACGTCAGAACACTGTCGGTCACTGATTGGTCAGGGGTGGAGTCGGGGGCGGAGTCACTGGATCCTTCAGAAACGTTTCAAAACAATAATCCGCCATTTGCAATTTCTCGGACTGGAGCAGCGGCTGGACTTATTTTAAAGATTTTAAAAACAATACTGACAACATCTTGGTCTAATGTTGATGTGCTGGCATTTTTTGTGCTTGGTGGCCGACAACATAATTTAGAGCAAGCTGGATGGAGCTCTGCTGGTGTACAGAGCCTGCACAGGGCAGGGATAGGCATGTCCCGGGCAGGGACATGCCTATCCCTGCCCTGTCTGGCGCTCCGGAGCCTCGGAGCGCCAGACCGGGCAGGGCGTCATCTCCCCGGCTCCAAGTTCAGCTGGTCACCGCGGAAGATCCTTCGATGTGCCGACTCGGAGGCTCGGGTTCCGGATACCAGCCTTGTGTGCTCAGAGCTCCGCAGGTCACTGCGAAGCTGGAGATGGGGACTCGCAGATGGACGTTGCGAGACCCCGGCCGCGCGTAATCATGAAGGCTAAATCCTGATCCCACCCGCAGTCAGGCGGACTGGACAGTCTGGGACGGACGCTGGAAGCGACTTTTAAATAAAATAATATTTTGTTTTTATACAAAAAATGTTTTAAAAAATTGCTGAAGCGATTTAAAAATGATTTTTTTTTTTTTAAACGTAAAATGTTTTTTAAAATCGCTTCCACCGTTCGTCGCAGACCCGTCTCTGTCCGCCTGTCTGCGCGGGTCGGACCTTCATGATTATGCGCGGCTGGGGTCTTGGAACAGCCTCTGTGAGTCACCATCTGAGCTGGAGCTGGGAAGATGAGCCTCCCAGCCTCCGGAGGAGAGGATCAGTGAGACCAGCAGAGCGTTGAAGATTAAAAAAAAAAAAAAAAAAACGGTGCCAGCTTCATTGTGAAATCCTGTTTTCACTTTAATGACTGTTAACTCAGCTGAAAATCATAAAAAGACACAAAACTATTGGATCTCAGGAATATTTCCCTCAAACATGTTTAAAGAAGAGACGACCTTCAGTTCAACTTTATTTTAACTCACAAATGTACAAATCCCAAAACAAGAACTTTAAAGCAAAGCTAAAAATAAAATGTATATATGTGAACAAGAAAGGAAACCACACATTTAAAATGAACATTAAAAGTAGACAAAATGAGTGCAAATACATCAAATGATGATGAAAACCTATAAAAATTTAAATCTAGATGTTTTTTGTAGAATCTTATTCATCAGAGATTTAATTTATATACATATATATATGTATTTATATCTATAAATATATATAGATAAATATATATAGATAAATATATATGTATATATATAAATACATATATATGTATATAAATATATATGAATATATATAAATACATATATATATATATAAATATATATGAATATATATAAATACATATATATGTATATAAATACATATGTGTATATATATACATATATTTATATATACATAATTGTGTGTGTATACATATGTGATATATATACATATATATATATATATATATCACGTATGATATATATATATTTGTGTGTGTGTATATATATATATATATATATATATATATATACATACACGTGTACATATGTGTGTGTATACATATATATTTGTGTGTGTGTGTACATATATATTTGTGTGTGTGTGTATATATATATATATATATATATATATATATTTATACACATGTACATACACACATACATACATGCATACATACATACACACAACTTCAATATAACATAAATTCTCAACCTGTACTGAAAACAGTTTCTGCGTCTCAGCGCCACCAGCTGGTGAGAGGTGGTGACGTCAATTTGAACCCCGCCCACTGGAACCGGTACTGAAAGCATAATGGAAACACAACCTGTACCGTACCGAGTAGAGTAGAGCCGTGCTGTACCGGTCCGTACCGATACTAATGGAAAAGGGGCATATGTGAGGTCTGTAATACTCCCTCAGCAGGACTTCCTTCAGTCCTTCACAATAAGAGTCCTTTGTAGTGTTAACCTCTAAAATGCTCTCCATTCAGCTAAAGTTTATACAAAATGTTTATAATTTTTTTTTTTATTCCACTGGATAAACACTCACTGTAGCTTAAACAGCTGATTTAGGTGTCCAGCTCCAGATTTAGGTAAATAAATTTGTTTTGTTTTGTTAAAAACCTAATCTGATGTTTAAAATCACGACAGCATGTCAAAGGACCGGATCATTTAGTTCTTGTTTCCTTTTTAATGTCACAATAATAACTTTATGTTTGGACATCCTTCTCAACGGGCCACCCATAATCTCAAATATGGAAACAAAAAAACAAATATTATGTTCATTCATAATATCATAAATGTAACTCTGAATGTTCTTTTTCAGAGCTAAACTTTTTTTTTTTCTTGTTCAATTTAATGGGGAAAAACTCATGTATTTTTTGTGTACTTGTACTACAAAAGTAGGTCGGTACCACTTTACAATAAGGCTCCCCTTATGGATGGATAATAAATAGTTTCTAGAGAAGTTATTAATTCCTGTATAAACACTTTGTAAATCATTAATAATTGTTTATTATGCATTAATTAAGGGCGACAGAGACAAAACTGACCAGTTTCTTGACAAGCAGTGATCCAAATCTGTTCACCTTCATATTTCATCTAGAGTTGTTATATTAAACATTTCAGACTAAGTTACTACCTTGTAAGATCAATAAGCATTTGGAAATGTAATCTATATAGATGCTCCAGCTAACGGTTATTAGACAGACAGACAGACAGACAGACAGACAGACAGACAGACAGACAGACAGGCAAACAGACAGACAGGTAGGCAGACAGAGAGACACACAGACAGAGAGACAGACAGACAGCTTACTTTTCTTGGTAGGAGGGGGTTGGCGGCTCTGACTTTGGGAAGCGATGAGATAAACGGCCACGCCGATTACAACTGAGGCCACCAGGTTTCCAAACGCCATGCCCACTATGGAGGGTGTGTCCAGCTCCACACAGTTGTCACAAGCTGGTGGAAACACACACACTTTATCAAACACTGGAGTCGTCACACACTCATTCAACCTTTATTTATACAGGTTAATCCCACTGAGCCGCAGGGACTCATTTAGAATCAGAATCAGAATAAACTTTATTGACATTGCACCGAGATACAACGAGAATATGTACGTACAGTCCTCTGAAAGATGGGCGGAGTGCACGAAGCTGCGGCTATTAAATAGCACGGCCTTCTTATTCTTATTCAGAATAATATTTTGCATAGATGAGAAAAGGGAAGAAAACATGAGGAGAGATGATATAAAAAAGATCTCTCACACTGTGTCCTAGACAGGGCACGATTTGAGGCATAAAAAAAAATTACCACAGCAAAGCAACATAAATAGACGTTATACATTTACATATAGGCGGTGAAAACATTGAATTTTTAAGGGAAAGTCGTAGCATAGTCCATAGCCCCCCCCCACCCCCGAGCTCACAGCTTCTCCAAGATTATTCCCACCATTCATGAGTGCTGCCAGTGAGTTCACAGTCCTGATAACAGCTGCTCCAGCTCCCTGCTGCAGCTTCCCACATTCAGTCTGAGCACTGTCGAGCTTCAACACCTCCACACAAATTTATAAACAATCCAGAATTCACCAGCCAAACAGCAAAATAACCAGTTGTCATCATGAATCCAATTTGTTTCCATCGAGGTAAAAGGGTCCTCCTTACCCTGACTCCTGTCGGGAGAAGTTGATCAATTTTGTTGAGAGACCAGCTGAACCTTCGAATTAAGAGGTATGTAGAAAAAAAAGAGGCTTTTTAAGGGTTCACAGGACAAAAGAGTGCAGCATGGAAGCGGGTGGGGGTGGAGGTGGGTGGGGACCAGGGAAACACGTCTGGTTTCACCCGAGGATAGAGAGGAAAAAAATAAAATAAAATTTACAAGAGAGACCTGAATTTAATAAAGAGTGATGACAACAATGGGCAATCATAAAAAGCATACAAGTTGAGAAGAACAAGTGAAAGAAAATGTTATTAAAAAATGAAACAAAAACAGCTAGATTATAAACCAAAGTGATGTAGAAAACTAAAAACAGGAACATGTCTGTATTGGTTTTTGCCAGGAACTCAGCAGATGTTTGAAGCCACTTACAGAGGTCAAGGTCACACACTAAGACACGTCTTAGGGTTAAACATTATAAAACTTCTGTCAAATAAAATTCATATTTTGTCTTTTATCACAAACTTGATTAATAAAAAAACACTTCTGAAGGACTTACTCCGAAATTTCACATAAATTTTTGAGATTTCATTACAGATGTATTCCCCCGAGCTCTTATCATCATAAGGTAAGTTCAGCTCTTTTGATCCATCTTTAAAAATGCCGTCTGAACAAATCAGCTTGATCCCATCACCCAGGCGCTCCACTTTTATGGCGTCTTTGGGTGGTAAAGACAGAAACGTTCAGGTTAAACACAAAACGATAAAAGTTTAGTTTTATTTTTAGCTGTGATGCAAACTGCAGCATGTTTACTTACCTTCCTTTGTGTCACAGCTGACATAAGCTGCAGAAAAATAATATAATGAAACAATCATTAAAACTGAGTTACATCATCATCATCAGGTGATAATCAGGAAGGAAAAGGACATAAGTCAGACATTTAATTCTGATTAATATGACTGAATTGTGTGTTTTTTTATTAGATGATCAAAAGGAAACTACTTGTTCATGAACTCAGCGTCTTTTTATGAACACATCTTTATCTGATGTTTTGACTCTTCAAAGATTAATTTAAACCTCTTGTGAACATTTTACTCTTCACTTTGTTCACTGGATGCACGTTTTTAATGACTGTAGCATCCGTAACACAAGAGACCAATTAAACTGATCAGAGTCACGGCTCAACAGACTCTGAAATGAGCACCTGAAAAATGCCTACTGTTATGAACAAACATAAACACGACGAGTAATTATCAAACGCCACGTCGGAAATAAACATGAACTGTTCACAGTTTAACCACAGTCAGGTGTACAATCCATGATGCTAGATGTAAGAGGTAGAAAGCAGCTGATGCTTAAAAGGAAATAAATAACTCAAATGAATGAAGTTTGTTTAAATATGGCAAATTATCATTTTATATTTAGCTAAAGAGATGACAAGAAAACTTTCTGTATAATAAGAAGTAAAACAGAAGAATAAAACTGAACTTTGTGACCAAAAATAAATTATGTTTATTACTTTGATTCAAGAACACCATGCTCACAGTATTGTGACGTACAGTGTTGGAAGCATCATGCTGTGGGATTAATTTGTACATTCAAATATTCATAAATATATATATATATATATATATATATATATATATATATATATATATATATATATATATATATA